TAAGTAAAGTGCTGAAATAGATTATATCAGCCAATCATATGCGTGGGACTTTCCTATGATCACATGATATGGGCATTCCTTCTGGTCCAAAGGCATGCCCCCAGGCATGCCCCCTAGGCATGCCTCACAGGCATGCCCAGAGACCCCGTGCCTCCTACCCTAGTAGTCAATCATTGATTATCATATAAATACTTCAATGGACAAAATGTTGAGTATTTTTTTTCGCCTAAACATAATTATCTTTCAATTCTCATTAAAATGCTTGCTATAATACTTTTGATAACCATAATTTTGTTGTATTTAAATATTGAAATTCCATTTATTTTTTATTATTTCCTCCGTGAATCCCTCAAAGAAATTTTCCGCCATAGATCCTTAAACGAAATTGCTTATATTGAAGATGTTCAAAGTATAATTTTTGTGGGAAGAACAGGTTGTGGCAAATCAACTTTAGCAAATGTTCTATTGGACGATGAGAAATTTGATGAAATAGCTGGAAGTACAAGTGGAACGAAAAGAATACAAAATGAAATCTTTGAGTGGAATGGGAATAAATATTGTGTAATTGATACAGTCGGAATTGGCGATGACTCTAGACTATCAAATTATGAAAAAATGTTGCTTTTTTGTGATATATTTAAAAAGCGCAAAATCAAACAAATATTTTTTGTATATAAGGACCGTTTTGAAGATTATCAGGTGAAAGCTTTGGAAAAAGTTAACAAACTTCTCAAAGTATATGGGTCAAAATACAATGGTGCCCATATTGCTTTAGTTTGTACAAATTTCGCAGAATTTGAAAATAATGATGCATGTGATCTGGATACAGTAAAGCTACTCAGGGATCGTAAAAATCAAAATATTGTTGAAGTAATTAGGAGTTGTAAACATATTCATGTAGATAATCCACCAATTCACTCGTCTTGCCATGGAGATGGTGCAAAAAGGGCACGGCAATCTTCAAGACGAAAGTTACCCGAGTACTTAGAATCGATTGCCTCTGTAAAATGTATTGAGGTTAAGGTTGAAAATGCATTTAATTTTGGAGACATATATGATTATTTTAAAAATTCGTGAAGAAGTTATCTATATATTGTGTCATTATTCCTAATTAGTGTAATTTTTTTTATCGTTTTTTTGTCTGCTTTTTTTCATTTATTTTGTTTCTTATTTTGTATTCATCATTGTTAGATTTAGTTAGTGTAAAAATATATTGGGTTAAATGCGTTGAGTATTCATTTGCACTTAAGCCACAAAATTAAGAGGCTTATAGCTTGACAGTGGTTGTACAAAATTCCAGTGACAATTGTTGGCGAATAATGTGCACAGAGAAATTGTTGCTTTATGGAAACAGAATATATTTCCAACATAGTGTAAATTAATTCGTGGCTTAAGAATAAAGATCAGCGACACAGACTTTAAGTGGCCATGTAATATAGTTGTAGATTCTCGTCAACTCAGAATCGAACGAGAATATAAATTAAATTATGTATCGTATGTTCACTAATAATGTTGATTTTAAATTTTACGGATTGAATATGGTATATGTAATTACGTTAATATCGATATAACAAACTTTTAGATTGCGTAGAAAAACCATAAGATTTAAAAATATAAATAAAATAACAAATTTCATTTTATTTAATATTAATACGACTTCAAATAATTCATCAATTTTCTTATTTCTTGCATTTTAAGCCATTGAGACTAACGACTATACAAGTAGTCAAAAAATAATGAAAGTATTATCCCAAATATAATTATTACTTTATATATTTATATTGTAGTTAAAAATGTATTATATCTATTTGTGTTTTTATACATAATTAAAATACAAACTGTAATTATTGATAATATAATTATTGTAAAATGTACTTTAAAATCAATTCTATATTTGCCACATCTTAATTTATAAGAAGCTACCTGACAATTGTAAAAATTTCGTTAATTGAATAAACACTGAAAATTACAAAACACCTTATTCGACTATCAAATAGTAAATACCAAATATTAAATCACATTTCTGCAGATTTTTTATAATAAATAAAAGCCTTATATTCGTCCTTTTCAACCCCAATTCCATTAAGATAACAATATCCGACTTTATTTATTGCATCGATATCACCCATATTAGCTGATTTTTGATAATAAACAAATGCATTTTGTTCGCTCTTTTCAATTCCAACTCCAAATTGGTAACAACGACCAACATTATATGTTCCAAGAGCATCGTCCATATCGGCAGATTTTTGATAATAGGTAAATGCTTTATGCTCATCCTTTTCAACACCAATTCCATTTTCGTAACAACATCCAACTCGATTTATTCCATCAATATCACCCATTTCCGCAGACTTTTGATAATAAACGAATGCCTTGTTGTCGTCTTTTTCAACACCAATTCCATTTCGGTAACAATAACCAACATTATATGTTCCGCTAGCATCACCCATATCTGCTGATTTTTGATAATAAAAGAATGCCATATGTTCATCTTTTTCAACACCAATTCCTTCGTCATAACAATAACCGACATTACAAGCACCACTAGCATTACCCATATCTGCTGATTTTTGATAATGAATGAATGCTTTACGTTTATCTTTTTCAACACCAATTCCTTCATCATAACAGACACCAACGTAAAATACTCCTTCTGCATGTTCCATATCTGCCGATTTTTGATAATAAATAAATGCTTTATGTTCATCCTTTTTCGTCCATTTACCAAAACGATAACAGCATGCAAGAATGATTTTTGCCGTAGGATTTACTTGATCATCCGAACACCAATTGATAATTTGATCAGGATTTTGGTTCCTTTTTTTTAGAAATTGATCCAATTTGTTAATGATTGATTCAGAATCGGCGCAATTTGGTCTTTTTTCATTGTATAAATTACACAATTCGTCAACAAATTCGCTAAAACAGTCTAGTGATTTATTATCTTTTAAATCAAATTGGCTAAAATTGTTAGTTATTTGAATAATATCGTCTGATGAATTAACAATGTTTTCGGGAAGTTCTACAGTTAGATTATCTATCATTTTAAAAAATAAAGAATGAAAAACATTAATTCATTATCTGTAATGTTTAACATTCTATATTTATCTATATTTAGACACATTACGTAATTATGAATAAACAGTACCCTTAAAGATCGACAAATATGCACCAATCAGATCTCTTAAAATCAAATGACTGAAATAATGCGTGATATAAATTAGATATTGTACCCGGATAAAATCACCCGAATAACCCGTTTAGTATCTATCAACCGAGTTATAACTAGAGATGCCGTAGAATCGTCCTAATGAAGTCGAATGATAATTGTCACATGGCTGTAACTTGCCGTAACTATAGTAAGTAACATAGTAACGTTACGACATTATAGCCGTAACTTTACTTATTATTTACTATAGTTACGGCATGTGACAACTATCATTCAACTTCATT